TACGTTTCCTAGAATACGAATACATATTTAGCACTCCCGCTTAGCAGGTCCCAGATCTGAAGTCTGAAATGCTCTAAAATCGGAATCTTTTCGAGCACTGGCATGATGTCACAAGTGCTAAATTTCACATCTGACCTCACATGATGGGTCTTAGACAAATGCTGTGATGGAAAAATATATAAAATTATTTTCAGAGTGCGTATATATAAGGTGTGTATGGAATATAAGCGAATTTCATATTTAAACTTGGCTCCCATCCCCAGGGTGTCTTATTATGTTTAATGCAAATATCCCAAAATCTGTGTGTGTGTGTGGGGGGGCAAATCTAAAACGCAGCTTTCTGGTCCCAAGCATTCAGATACGGGTTACTTGACCTGTACTTCCCAACGAGGGTAGTACAGACCCTGACACTACTCATGCCACCCATATTTTAGTTTAACTTTTTTGAGAAAGTTTTCTTTGCTACAGGGTGCCTGCACTTGCTGGAGAGACAGACAGAGAGAGGGAAAGGGAGAAATCGCCACTCCAGGGAGGATGGTGACACCACAATCCTTCTCCATTCTCTTCCTGGGATTTTGGGCACACACGCACACACACACCTGCCCGGTGTCAGTTTTAACCTCTGGATCTGGGACTTGAACCGCAGTTGGCCATGGGGAGATCTAACAACATAACCATCAGCTGCTGGTCCCTCATCTTTTTAGTGCAAAGTGCATGGGTTGTGGGTTCAGATAGCCCTGGTTTGCTTGCTGGTTACTGGCACTTCACACTTCCCTAAACTTCAGTGTCTTCATCTGGAAAATGATCCTTACATTCTCACATTGTTGTGAGGATTACTGCCTAAAGCCTAGAGTGCTTAGTATAGTTCTGTCCCAGAGTAGGCATTCCAATAGATGGTGACTGTTATTTAGCAGTTTCAGATAAGACGTAAAATGCAAATCTGCCTAAGGGAGCTTAGCCAATTATAGGCTAAACGAGTTCGTCAGGTTTTGAAATGGATGCATTCCTGTTCAGAAGCGGCATGATCCCTGAGAGTGGGAAGACACTGGGATGTGTGAAGGGATCTTCCCTTTGGGAAGAAAATGCATGTCTCCCTTTTTCTCCCCTAAAGTACCCACATCCTGGTGGTGGCTCAGTTTGATTCTTGCCCTAATACGTCTTTTAGTTCCAGGAAATGTCTAAGTCTAAACTCAGCCTTTCTCTCTAGAGCTGATCTTCTTGCCGGGTTTTGTATCAGTGATGAAATCGCTGTCCATCTACAAAACAGAATCCCCCTGGGATCAGCAGGTGGCCTAATTGTTACATCGCTGGACTCCCACATGGTTGACCACAGTTTAGATCCCGAGCCGGCGGATTAAAGCTCACGCCGGGAGCATGTTTGTGTGTGCGTGCCCAAGATCCCAAGAGGAGAATGGAGAAGGGATGTGGTGTGGTCCACCCCCCCCGGAGGGTGATTTCTCACTTTCTGTCTCTCTGGCGAGTGCGTGCACCCTATAGCAAAAATCTCTCTCTTAAAAAGCAAAAGACAAACAAAACCCCGAATCCGCCAAGATCTGCTGATTTTCATCCCAGAAATCTCTCTCTGCCTTCTTTGTCAGCCACCCTCACGTAGTCTCAGCACTGTCCTCTCATGTCTGTCCCCTTCCCTGCCACCTCTCATGGCCTCTCTTTGTGATTCAGCCAGATTCGATGTTTTTTCAAAGTCAAGTTGTCATTTCTTTCTTAAAGCGCTTTGGTGACTTTGCTGAGTTTTCCCTCTCAACTTGTTTCATACAGAGTCCCGCTAGCTGTGACTGGTCTCTCTGCTTCGTAAGTTACATGAGGGCCGACATAATATCAGTGCTTACAGAGTTCTAGAATGCTCTGGCAGTAGACAAGAGATAGTAAATGAATAACTAAGTGTGTAACTTAGGCAGTTAAAATACAAAACGATTATATCTAAAGTGAGGCAAGCACAAAAGAACTTACAGCATTGGCATATTAAATATTGTCATTTGGGAATGCTTATGTTGTTACAGCGTTAGCTTAATCTGCCTCTCATTTTACTTTTTTTATTAATAATAAGCATAAAGAGGGACCAGCAGGTGGCGTGGTGGTTAAGGGCGCTGGACTCTCACATGGCCGAGCATGGTTTGAGTTCCAGATGTGGGCGGATTGCTTTCTCACTTTCTCTCTCTCATTAAAATAAATAAATTAATAAATGTTAAAAAAATAAAATGAAAATAAACATAAATAGAATTTTGAATTTTGAATATCCATGGAGGTTAAGATCGTCTCAGAGTCTGATTGTATGTTAATGACCTTCAGAGTATCAACGCGGCTCTTTCCTCGAAGCTGCATGGTATTTGGAAGTTTCCAGTTGTAGATTCTGGCTGGTTACAAACATCCTGATGGTGACTGTATGGAATGCATTTGTTTATTTTAGTTGTGTAAAGCATTAAAAATTTAAATTCTACAAGCTTCATCAAGAGAAGTCACAGATATAGATTCCTCTGCTGTCATGAAAATTAGACCCTCGGAAGGTTAAAATGATGTTTGAATTACTCTTTTTATGTTGGCTTTTTTTTGTATTTGGGCTTTTGTGTATGGCATGACTGTGGGCAGATTGAAGTATACCCGTGAAAACCCCTAACGCTGTAGTATTTTCATGAAAATAGGTTTAGTACTATTGTTTACATTTTAAAATTATTGCTTTCAATAAGATTTTGGTTTCCATCTATCCTTAATTCTCCTTAGGAATGTACAACTTAAAAAAAAAAGAGGCACAGTCAGCAGAAAAAAGAGGTGGTCTGAGCATTTATGCGTTAAATATGCATGCTAATTAGGAAAAAAAATTAGAAAAATATGAAAACAGATGTTACATAAATTATTGCAGTCCCAGGGCAGCAGTAACTTATATACTGACAATAATTTTTATATGTGCATGTGTATGTCTATTTCTAGATTTCTTAATATTTATGCAATTCCTAAGAGTATAGCTAGAAAAAGAACTGGTATATCCTTTCAGTGCCACTGTGGTACAAACGTTCCTTTTGCATATGAATTGCTGAGGAAACCTGCTGATTTCAGACAGTCTTCCTGTGGAATGATCCTCTGCATTTCCTTCATTTTTCCTCTAATGATTTTTTTTCTGTTAGCTTCTCTGATGGTGTGTCAATTTGTTCTTTTATTGGATATATCCCATCACAACAAAAAGGTTAATTAACCACCCTGGCAGTGTGAGAAATCGAAAATTGGCCGAAAATTTTAAAATGGTCTAAAGTGCATATTTGGAAATAGAACAGATTATAACTACTTAGGATACTGATTGTAGTAGTGTCACTTTTTCTTTTTGTTACTGTTGGACTTTCTGAAGAAATAGTCATTGTTTTTGAATAGCAGTGACACACTGGTATGGCGCTAAGAAGTACCACTTAAGGACAAATTCATCGAATTTGTGTTGGCGGAGTTGAAAGATACTCAGATTCTTTCTCTAAAAAGCCATCTTTGGAATAAAATCTGTCTGTATTTTTATAAGAAAAAGATGAGAGAGAGAGATGCTTTATTTTAGTGGTATAGCAATTTTTAGTTGAACTATACAAGAAAAACCAACTGAATCTATTGCTGTCTAAGGAACAGCTGACAATATTTAGATATTTTTCAAATGTGCAATATTTATAAAAGTATCATTGGGAAATTTTCAAAGAAGATTGAAACTTATAAGAAAACGCTGAAATCAGAATGTGATCTATAAATCATTTCCTTTACCAAATAAATAAACAAAAGATGAATTGTATTCAATGAAATGCATGGATGTAAAAGGGCATAGAACATTTCTGGAAATTCGTTTTCCGAAAGAGTGACTTGGTATTTGGTTTTAGCAACATGTGATGGTGAAATCATTAGAAGTAATTCCTATTGAGTCGCAGTCAGTCCCAGCTGGGTCTCTTAGGTTTCTGGTTCTATGTGGCTGAGTTATATTTTACACTGTATTACCTCGCTGTTGCTATTTTGGTGCATATTTTGAGCCACCAGTAAGCTCTTAACAGATTGTTGCACATTACGAGTTGCTATAGGGACCAGCAGTTAGCATAATGGCTATGTCGCTGGACTCCCACGTAGTTGACCGCAGTTCGAGTCCCGGACCCGATGACTTAAACTCACGCCGGGTGCGTGTGCGTGCGTGCCCAGGATCCCGAGAAGAGAATGGAGGAGAAGGGATTACGGCATGGCCATTCCCGCGTGGGGGGTGATTTCTTGTTTTCTATCTCTCTGTCTCTCTGTGTCTGGCGAGCGCACACGCCCTATAGCAAAAACCTCTCCAAAAAAAAAAAAGAGTTGCTATAGAATGAGACCTAGAGGAGGGTGATCGCTGCCTGGTAATTTGTTACTAAGAGGCTCTTAAACTGGACAGTCTACTGCATTTCTTACGTAAGTTCTCATTCTTGCAGATTTTATGTAGAAAGATACCTTTGTCAAATAGGTCTATAGCAAATTTGTGGAAGTACATTACAAAAAGCGATAGTATTTTTTTTCTCATAGAAAACGGCTATAAAAATTAATTCCTAGCTCACAAATAATAATTACTCGTCATCCCGGATGCATCTGTATTCCATTTTTACATTTTATTAATGCGTTGGAATCTATTTTCAAGGGAATTTTTTTTCACATTTGTTTTCAAATGTCAAATTTCCATTTTTTATATTATGTGATTTTAAAATGTGATATTATTTTACTGTGTGTTAGAAGAGCCCATTTGTTATTTCAGCACAGTTATGTTGTTTCAGTGAAAAGTTAACTGAAGTTAGAACAGGTGATCTTTTTCAGAATTTAAATAGGTGACGAGTGGTTAGTAAGTGGGATGATGTTTGTCCTTTGTAAACCTAAATTATTCTGAGGCAAATTTTTAAAATCCTGCCTTTTGGTTTGGTTTCGGGTTCATTTCGGGACAGGAGCATTGGAAGTTGTTGTATGTGCGTATGGATTTGAAGCTATTTATTTATTTTTCTCTCCCTCTCTAGGTAGATGCTGTTTTCCTAGCGGCTCAGTTGAGAAAGCGATCAGCTGGTCTCTGATTCTTGATTCGCCTTCAGATCCTGTTTGCTAACCAGTACTTCGGTCTGGAGAGCTCTGCGTACTGAGCCTGAACTCATCCTCCACCCAAAAAAGAGCATGCATTTTCAAGTGTCAGCTCGATTTGTGGATCAGTGAAGTCCTCCTGAAAGGTAAGAGCTGAATATTCACAATATCTTACCACAGTGAAGTGTTCTATAGGTTTTTGTACCGAAAACATCTCTGTGTTTGTATACTTCGGCCGAATTGAGACGAGAAGGTCCTTCGAGGGGTAACGTCGCCTCCAACACATTTCCTGGGCTGGGTTTTTCTACGTCCTATCGGGCAGTCACCAGTCTGTTCTTCTCACTTCTTTCCTGGTTCTTTTCCTTCTAGCACTTTCCTTAGGGAGCAGGTTTGGTACCCACAGTCCTTTCTCGTTTTTCTTTTTTCCTATTTGTTCATCCTTACATTTGTTAAATATCTAAGATGATTAGAATGATTCAACTTAGAGTTAAAGGTATCTCAGAGAGGTAGCACTCACAACTTTTCTCCCACTGTAAACCATAAGAAGAAATGAAGTTTACATGAGCCAGTCTCTGAGGCGTCGATGAAACTGAAGCAGGAGTTGAAATGGTTCTTGCCCCGAGATACGCCGTATGCGGTATATACCCTGGTGTACTTCATTTCAGACATGCTGGTGCCCACACCTGCATGTACTTCCCTGTCGGATAACGTGTCGCCTTACAAGTCAGAAGCGCCGCTCTAGATCGCTTGGTGTTTGTTCATGACTTGTTGGGAAAATAGAGACTGTGGTGGTTTCACGTCCCCCTTACCCCTCGGTCGGGCTGCCTTATCTCCTGTCACCTCTGGTCCCGCAGTAGAGACTGTGGTGGTTTCACGTCCCCCTTACCCCTCGGTCGGGCTGCCTTATCTCCTGTCACCTCTGGTCC